CACCTTTCTCGAAAGAAAACAAATAAAAGCTTGTTTTGCTCTGTTGATGACTTTGTCAAGAGCAAAAGCAAATAAGAAAAACCGCAGACACAAAGAAGCGAAAGAAATTTTTCATTCTATGTTGTTAATTCCTGTAAATTAATTTTGATGAACAATTGCAGCTGCCGAAAAGTCCCCCGCGAATGGTTAATATCCTCGTGTTTCTCCTCTTTGATCCGTTCCTTTGATTATTATTCGTTTTCTGTATATATCTTTTTATGATTGTTGTCGGTTATTCAGGGTGAGAGCACTGTTGTTTGGTATAAGCCAGCACCGGATTAAAAACGTTGGATAGCGCTATTTACCAGATAAATCACTGCCCAGTGGATAGCTTAGCCTATTCATCTTGAGCTTTCCAATCAATAGTGAGGCTACATTATTCAGTGATCTGGTGTAACAATGGAAACTGAAACGCGTGTTGAATATACGGATAAGCCACCACAATAAGCCGGATGTGAAATCGACTATAGAAAAAGCAGCTTTTTCAGCTATTTTTCGGCTTTGTCAGACTTCAAGGTTTCCTGCTTAGCCACTGTTAATAAAATAGCATCCGTCCGTTTCGGCATACGCGCAATTGTAAGACAGAAAAATTACAATTCGCCCCGTGTAAGGGGAGATAGTCTTGGATTCTGGATTCTTCGCCGTAGATTCTGGATTTCAGGTACTGGGTTCCACTCTCGTCAGTGGAACTTGAATTGTGGATTCCAATCGTTAGTTGGATTCCTGATTCCTCGAGCTGTATTTTTGATTCCAAAGCCCAGGATTCCAGATTCCACGAGTAAAAATTTCACGGGTTTTGTAATTCGGATTCCTTTACATAGGGCGATACAATTGGATACACTTTATTTGTAACATCCGAAGCGTAAAAGAAAGCAAAATAGCCAACCTTCTAAATGAACCAAAACGACCTCTCTTGCCATAGTTTTTCAAACCATTCGGACCAGTTGGTGGTTATAATTCTGGGAGAAAATTACATGCAGTGTAAACCGCCTGGAGCATTACCTGAACCGCTATATTCCTCACTGAATCAGTGCGACTTTCCAGGAACGTAGGAGTACCAGGCAAAAAACTTTTTGATCGCTTCATCTGAGTGCTCAGAGTGCGATGGTTACCAAAGTCCAATTAAGGTGAGAAAGAAATTAAGGACAAGTGCGCCATGACAATGACATGCTAGTCTAAATGCAAAGGCAAATATCGTAGTTTGTAAATAGAAATGCTATATAAAAAAAAATTTCAAAACATGGACATATTCCTTGGGAAGCCTTACTGCTAAATCAAATATAAGGGTCTTGATGCGGGAAGGTGCCTTTTCCTTGGCTTTCTACGCCGGTTAACAGTTAACGTCTACCGACCAGCTGAAAAAGTTCAAAAGTATCCGTCGGTGTAGGCCTCTAAGGCCCTTTTCAGAAATGAGACTTTAAAATTACTGAAACAGCTGCTTCAGCCACGAGACAAGTCGAGTCATAACAAGTGATACTACAACCTCGTCCCCAGGGTCTTCTCGTTTTCCAATATGGCAGCGGCAGGAGATAAGACGGCTTCTGCCCCTGCATAGACATTGTGGCTTGGAAATTCTTACTCTTAACGTTTGTACGTTTAACAGTAAAAGTAAAATGAATAAAATAATTAAAAATAATTTATTTCTACTCCTAAGTGACGGATTGGAAAAGTGAAGGGGAGGGGGTGGGGAAGCTTTTAAGTTTCATGTGAATGTTAATTTTTTGATTTAACCTGTATGCATGTTTTTTTCCTTAGCTCTTAATGGAGTTTTTTTTGTTGAGTTTCCTTATGCTTCTTTCATTTTTTTCAACGGTCCGTCCTATGAACCAGCACTGTAAAAATTGTGGCTTCTTCAAGGTTAACGATTATCGTTTGTCTCACGATAGTCGCGTTGATATTGATCGCGACGTTTCGACCGCACACTGCAGTTCTTCATCAGGCGATAGTGTCGATTTACTGAGTCGAACCATTTGTACCACCGTGGTTGTTAATGATTGGTGTATCACAAACCTTACTCAGGATTGGTGGGTTTCGATCCAAAGCATTGTTGGCATTGTGAGAGGAAGACACTGATCTCTCGGCGGTCCGCTGTGGTAGAGGTCGGCTGTCATGTTGTCTGAAATCGACTGTTTCGCTGTCCAGTGACCAGACAATAGGAAAATTTGTCGTGCTAGAGTTTCTATCAATGAATAGTTACTGAATTAGTTTAGCCGCACTTCTTCGCAGCCCTTATTTCTTATAATAATGCTGTGATGTCGAGGTGGCCTCTCCTATAAGCCCGGTGGCTTCTTGAGGTCTCCTCGCCTAACAACTTCCTGTATCCTTTAAAATTTGTTCTAACACAAAGGCTAATAAATGATGACGATGATAATGATGAAATTTAAAGACTAGAAACTAGGAAATTAAAACAGGCACGTCTTAATGTAATTATGTAAGTCAACAAAGAAACAAAATTCTCCATGATTCATTCAGAGCCTTGAATGCGGCATGTCATTTCCGAACCAATCACTAAACAATATAAATGAAACCATAAGTCTTTTTCTTTCTCAAACTGAGCACCTGTTAAATTCACGGTTCGTTGTTGATTGATTTTGTTCGAACCTGTCTAATTATCAATCAAAACTGTTCTGAAGATTTGTGTTCCAAGTCCTAATATTTTTAAAATCCTAAAAATAGTATATGGCTTTCAAAGAGTGAAAAAAGAATTAAATGCTGCCTCAAACGACTTTAAACTTTAAACCAGAATTTTTAGGAGAAAGGTTAAGTGACCTGACAGCTTTTCTCGGTATTCACACTCAATTCTGAACGTCAATCTTAATCTCTACCCTTCTGATTTGCAATTCAAATTTTTTATATATTAAGTACAGGAGTCTACTGAAGGATCCATTTATGCATTGATATGAATAACATTGCCTTGATACAAGAGAGGATGATCGATGATCGAAAAGCTGACGTTACGATAAAAAATATATATGAAAAACTTGGATTATGGAAAGAAACCGTAATTCATCTTCCGTTACCAATGGCCGTAACGAGAAGCATATCTTTGGGTCCTCTTCGAAGAGAAAACCACGAAGTTTTTTTGGGTTTGTTCCCCAAGTTTTTTTTTCTCCTTTGGTTTCATTGTTTAATTTAACACCACGCGTGATTTTACATCAATATTCACCAACGTCTTGGACTTGACGACGCTTTCAAGTGTGTGTATGAAGCTTTTTCAGCAACTCTAGCTACAAGCGAAACGAAGAACGCGAAAAATGTGAGCCAGTAGCTGACTCATTCGCCCCAGTCGTCGCTCATCATCGAATGGAAAGAAAACAAAGAGGAAGTAGAGTCGGCGCCCCCTCCCTCCCCCCTCTCCCCTTCCTCCCCCTTCCCATCTGCCCTCGCGCATCTCCGACGTACTTCCTTCGTTAAAGAAGAAGAAGAAGAAGAAGAAGAAGGCAACTGTGAAGTAGTCGGAGCGAACACGTGAAAAAGGAAAACAAAGCGCTAGGAATTCGTAGAGGAACGAAAGCGGGTACCTTTAACGACGAAGCCGGCTTTTTAAAGAAAGTCTAGTGTATGTGCACAACCGCGGGGACGGAACTGGTCAAAAAATCAAGAATATAGCTGTTTCCTTAGTCTGCAGTCAATATCAGGACAAACTGGTTTATAATTAGGGTCAAACCTTAGGGTTGACGGACTGATGTAGCAGGTCCTTTTGATAGTTTAGAAATTGTCGGTTATATTTTTGAACGTTAGACATAGGGCGTCGACCAAAAGTCTGTCAGAATTGGGCAGCCAAACCAATTGACAAAATTTAAAGGGATTTCTTTGGGAGTTTTCATAAGAAAAGCGGCACTCTGGTGCTGTTTATAATGATAAGAGGACCAGAATCACGCAGAATCGCGCTTGAACCGCCATTTTTTTTTCTTATTTTTTTCGACCCGAGTCACACATGGTACTCTTTTTTTTGTCCGTTTTCTGTCTCGGTTAGTCATTTTTTACTTAACTTTTGGTAATTTTATTAATTCAGTCCTTAAGTTAACAGTTCTGTCCCTAGAAAACCAAAATCTTACAAGGGTTCTTTCTTTTCTCTTTTAGGATCCTCGTTTCAATGCACAGGTTGACAAGGCAACAGGTTATAAAACGCACAGCATTCTGTGTATGCCGATTAAGAGCCATGACGGAGAGGTACTAGTGTTTTTATACTCCTTGTCCTTTAACTCATCTGCCTGTTTTTAAGAGGCTTTTTGCACTTGTTTTTTCCAGGTTATAGGTGTAGCTCAGATTATTAACAAGAAATCGGGAGAACATCAATTCACCCAAAAAGACGAGGAGGTATGGTTGTTATTGTTGTTGTGGTGGTTCGTCTCTTTTGGTATGTTTTCCCAGTTCCCTTAGCCTGTCCCAGGCTCCGAGATAGTTTGGCCTGCTGAATTGAGGGAGCATGAAGACGAAAGTAAAACGGGAGGAAACTGAGGGGAGAAGAGGCAGCGGAGCCTGTAGTCATTTCTTTAAACGACCCGTTCTGGTATACCAGCTCCTGGTATACCCTCTGATTGGTCAGATTCGATAGATTATATCAACACTCTCAATGCGGGTCTTTCCTATCACTCAGAAAGATGGCATGCGGCGTCCACGCGCGTGAAATAGAGAAATCCACGATAACTTCTGTGTTGAACGAATGTTTACGAGATTTCCCGCACATAGGAGCCCTGAGGAAGGAACACAAGACCTGCCTTGTGAACTTGGCGCAAGGAAAAAATGTTTTTACTTTCGCGTCTTCCCCACTATCTGAGAGCCTGGAACAGGCTACGTACAGTTCCGTGGACATCGGACATGTGGACATTCGCATCTACATTGAGCCGCCGTTGGTACACATAGATGGTCAGCGTAATTCCAATATGGCGTCCTATTCAGACGTTCTGCTGTTAAATACTTACTACTACTGTGATTTTTGTTGTGTTTTAGCGCATAATGCACTTTTTTGCATCAGACAGTACACATAGCAATACAAAACAATTTCATAAAAAAATTACCTTTAATTGTCTTTTATGATACGCCGCAATCTTTTGAGCCATGTGGAAAGTTAATTTTATTTTTAAATTTAAGTAAGTTGAAATATGAGCTCAAGGGTTGTTGAATTGTAGGTTTTCAAGAACTATCTGACGTTTTGTGGAATTGGAATAACAAATGCACAACTATTTGAAATCTCAGTGCAAGAGTACAGACGAAATCAGGTAAGTGGAATTAAATACAAGCCTCTGTAGCTCTCTGTCAGGTGGTGCCCGAGGCCAGCTGTACTGTCTAGGGAGTAAATGTTTTATTATGCAACTTTATTGTAAGTGAATTTTTTTGCCTAAATTAGTGAGAGCCACTGTTCAAAGCATTTTGCCCTCTCTATTTTAAACTGCCATGAAACATAAGATTACTGTTGCTTGTTAATTATTTTATGATCAAATGTATAATGAGAAAGCACTGATCACAAATTGTAATAATTATTATTTAATAAAAATGATAGTAATAAGATTTGTTCTCACTCTTTATGGTAATGATAGTAATAAAAATAATTAAAAATTATTATTATTATTATTATTATTATTAGTAGTAGTAGTAGTAGTAGTAGTAGTAGTAGTAGTAGTAGTAGTAGTGTTGATTGTTAAACTTAAAACAGATCATTTTTTGCACTTCACAAACACAGAAATGTTTAAATTAAATGTTCTATAAGGTTGTTTTTTTTTCATACCTGCAGATCCTACTTCAACTTGCAAAAGGAATATTTGAAGAGCAAAGTAATCTTGACACATGTGTTCATAACATCATGGTGGAGGCACAGGAGTTACTTGATGTTGAACGATGCAGTGTGTTTCTTATTGATGAGTCTTCTGAAACAGTATGTATTAATATTAATTTTACATGTGGGTAAATGTTTTATGATTTATTTATCATGTACACCAACTAAAGTTAATAAATGTATCTGGTTAGCTACCGTATTTATTTGATTAAGCTCCATAAGCGCATAAGCATCCACCTCTAATGCGCCTACTCTGTATAGGTAGGTAAAGTTAACAAGTGCTCAGCCTCAAATAACCTCCCCCCCCCTCCAAAAAAAGAGAAAAGTTCAACTTTACCATTCTATGAGATTAAAATAGACTAAATATATGTGTACTTCTAATAGACTTCCCTACAGACTGAGGTGTCTTAGTGCTTTTAAAAAAACTTTCATGAACTATTAATTTTCTTTTTTGGAACATCTTCGCATTATGTTATCATTTATTGTTTTGTTGCAAAATAAATGTAGTGCCTGCTGAAAATGTAAAAAATTTAATAACCACCCAGCCTAAAAAAAGTGCCCACTCTCATGGTCCAAAAATGTAATAAGCACCTAGGGTATCTGACCTTATGTACCCTGAAAATACTACCTACATGTATCCCAGCTCCCCCAAAGAGGCTTTTTAAGTTTAAGCCCCACCCTTACCCCTCTGGAAATTTCCTTTTAGCTTAAAAGTTTGGCCCTTAAAAAAACCCATGGCCCAAAAAATATCCAATAACACTCCATCTGGTGAGTATGGATGATTCCCGGAAGATTTTGTTGCACGGCATATCCGACACAACTTGGTGCATACACAAAGAGAGCACATGGAGGCACCCAGACCTCCTATATTTCCTATTTATCTTATAATTTTTATAGGATCCTATAAAGAGCCTATATTTCAAGAAATCCTCCTATATTTTGCAATAAATTATAGGACATTCTTACATCTGCATTTTGCACTGTGAAGCAATTTTGTTGTGATTAACAAAATCAAAATATTAATTCTTTATCAGTAAAAAAAGTAATTTTTTAATTTTGTTAATTGTCTTTTCTTATAAAGGGCCTCTATTTTGGCAGAAAATTCCTATATTTTCCAATATCATTCTAGAACTTGAAAAGCCTATTTTTCCTATCAGATTTTCCTAAAAGTGGCTGGTATAAATGCACATGAAACAAACATTAAATATTAGAACACAGGAAAGGGCTGCAAAAAAAAGCCCCAGCAATTTTAAGTGGTCACCAAGTGTACATGTAGGCTGTCTAATGTTTTGATAAATAACTGAGCCATGTTAAACTTGACAAATATGGATCTTTGCTGTTTAGTGAAAACAGTTAGAACATTTTGACAAATGAAAAGATAATAATGACAATTGCATAAGTTGACACTTAAACATACAGGTGTATTCTGGACTATACATTCCCATTCTAGGCAGTTCCGTGGACTTACCTATACACTGTATATGAGCTTTATTGATTTTTTTTTTTACAGCAAGATGTAGTCTTTTCCAAGGCTTTTGATTTGCATTCAGGAGCTGTAGAGGAGACAGGGCCAAAGTAGGTTTGCTGAACAGAATCTTCAATACTTATGAGTACACTCAACTCCCTCGATAAAGATGGATGTTAAATTTTTGAAATCTCTTGAGCACTTTGAATGATATTTTAATAGGCTAAGTAAGCATCAATAACTGGGTCGAAAGCAATGTTTTCCTTTTGGACCTACCATAGTTTTTTTTCACACAGTTTGTAGAAATAGTTCTCAAACAAATGGCAACATTTGGAAGGCAAACATTTAATGATGGCAGTGCAGTTTTCTGTATAAGAATGGCATTAAATCTCTCAGCCCTCTATTTTCAGTGGTAGTTAATAGTCAATGGTATTTCATTAAAACCTAGTTTAATGATATTGTTGCTTTTTGTCCCCAATAGGACAAGTAAAACTCACTGGTCAATGAATACTGGGATTGCTGCCTTAGTGGCATCCTCTGGAAAGGTAAAGCCAAAAGTTTCATGGCAGAGTTAAATCAGTTAATTTCACTATGTACAGAAACCCCCCAAAGTTAGGCTAATGCTCACACTTTACTGAATAGCTTTTGCGCTGCCATGAAAACCACACCAGATAGGGTTTCTGTTCACACACAAATCAGTGATTTCAGTGTGATTTCTGTATAAACAGAGTGAAGCGTGAAGCTGTGCCACGGTCATCTCAAGAGTGAAGAGTCACATATTGCATAGGTGTTCATACTCTACTGGATAGCTAATTTCCTGTGGGCACCAAAAGCTATACTGTTCAGTGTGAACTTACTAGAAAAAGTTAAAATGTCCTTTTCCTTTCTTTTTATTTTGGTGACTGATCTAGAAGTGCTGTAAATAACATAGAAACTCAGAGTATGTTTTGTTTTCTAATTAGGCTGTAAACATTCCCGATGCCTATGCTGATGGTCGTTTCAATCCAGAGGTATGTCAGTTTTATGGATTCACGGCTGAGTATTGTTTTTAATCCAAGTCCACCCTTGAGGTTGCTTGGCCTTGTGATTAGGTCCTGTACATGTTGTAGTCTCACTCAAACCACTAGCTGGAGTTGTGTCTTGGTTATTGTGGAGTCCAAACTGGTTTGCTTCTTCGGAGCTTTGTTTTTTAGCTATTAAAATGTTTATGTACGCTAAAAACAGGTTTTAAAACAGTTTTAAGACTGTAATAATGGATAACACCCCCCTCCCCTTATCAACAACTTCTGTTCCTAATATTTACTTACTTTCTTTTTTATTTCTAAAGGCAGATGTAGAAAGTGATTTTAAGACCAAATCTATTCTTTGTATGCCAATATTTAACACCAATCAGAAGATTGTAGGTGAGTTTGTAACTGTGCAAACTTGCACATTACTGCTTTAACAGCAAAAACTCTAAACTGTATTCTAGGGTAGCATTCAATTACATGTACTGCATGCCAGGTTAATGCTTACTTCCACATGTGGCTGGTCAGTCATGTGGTACAAAAATTCCATGCTGGAGGGCTTAATCCTTCCACTACCACTTTTCTTTTTGAGCTAGTTGAATTACAGCTCATTAGTTAAGATAGTTAAAAGTATGATTGTTTTTATTTTTTTAGGTGTGGCACAGTTACTCAACAAGAACAATGGTAAACCATTCACTGAGGGTGATGAGAATCTATTTGAGGTAAGTTACAGTGTACATGCTGTTATTAATCCTGCTGAAAACTCAGGCAGGAGATGAGGGTATGAGGGGGTCTGCATTGAAGAGCTGACCATAAGGTAGGGGAACTTGGGACTTGCTTTGAAAGTCTGACATTTTGGTGGATGTACCCTTTCTTAAAGGCCCACACATTTGAGACTGGTGTCCTAGCAGATTTAGACCCCACGTCTCCCCTCACCGAGATTTGGGCCTTTGTACCAAATTTGCCAGCCGACTGAGATCTGCAGGACCCCTGATCCAAGTTTGTTCGTTGAATTAGAACCCTGCCTCAGGGGACTGTCTGCTCAATGGAAGAGGTCAGAGAAAGTGGTTGTAGAATAATAGTACCAACTCTAACCCCTTCTTTGTTAAATTTTAAGAAATAATTAATTGTAGCCTGCAAAATCCTGTCAGAGAGGTTTGTTTTGATTGGTAGCACCATGGAATTTCCTTCACAGATTTAAAAATTTGAGCAACGAACAGACTTGCCATAACATGGTCTAGGGGTGAAGGGTTGAGGGAGTTGTTCATCTTAGGGTGCTTTCCATTTGTCAGAACTGGCCGGCCGAACCATTGCTGGAACAGTCAGTTGGCAAATGAGATCGGCTTTTTCCAAAGGGTTTTTTAGGAAAAGCTATCTCCTTTGTGCATATTATTTAGGATTTGACTGATCTGGCTAGATAGTTTTGATTAAAAGTGAAATTTTCATTACGAGGGAAATGGTCTTGCCGGTCAGCTCTGACAAGTGGAAAGTGCCCTTATAGGCGTGTCCTCTTATAGGAGAAAGGTTGTTTTTTCATGGGCACATACAAGCTGTTGGACTACAAAATCATGAACACCTGGCATAAAGATTTTCTGCAGTGTTGCTGTGTTGTGAAGAAATTTCGCTAAATCTGCTACTGGCTTTGAGATTGTTGCCATTTTGGCGATTTTTCAGTTTCCTTGTGTCAGCCCTTGTTTTCAATGTTTATGGTCAGAAAACAATCTTGAAATACGTGGTTGTAATTGACAGGGATCCAAGGTTTGAGTTTGAGAGTAAAGTTTGTCAAGTGCTAGTTTTTATAGTATCACCCTATTAATAAATAATGTTTACATTACTGCATGTTGACAAATTAGTAGGCATTCTGTTACGAGTCTCGTATCTCAACTTGATCCTTGATACTCAATTCCTGTAAGATTCGAGCAACATTATTAGAATTGAGACTCGTAAGCAGAAACTAATAATATATAGCTTGTCTAATATCTTGGCACTTTAGTATGCTGTATTTGTATCGAGCAAAATCAAATCACAAATTATGCAGCTTTGATGGCCATAATTTTGTAACTGTAGCAGACTGGTAATAATGACTCATTATTGTTTCGTTAGGCCTTTGCTATCTTCTGTGGTCTTGGGATTCACAATGTATCAATGTATGAACAAGCTTGCAAGCTGCTGGCCAAGCAATCTGTTGCCATGGAGGTAAACTTCCGGTCTATCACAAACAAGGCTTTGCTCTGAGGAAAATTTAAGAGAGCCCAGTGCTTTTAACTTGTGAAATACAGGGCATCGAGCCTGTGATTGTAATCACCCCAGCGAGAAAGCTTAGATTTCCTAGTCGCCAGAGAGCAAAAGGAAGGCACCAGGGGCCACTAGGTGCTTACAAAAACCTTAAAGAACGTTAGGCCTGTGTTTTAATGTTTTTCAGTGTTATTAAGCGAGAGGTCACAATGTTAGGTATGTCACGAGCAATTGATGTTTTCTGTGCTTAAGGTGACCCGAAACTATTTATACAGTATGCGTGTTGGCCATGTTTCTGATGTTTTTAGAATAGTGTTTCTCAGCGAGGAACGATTTAACCCGTTTCTAGGATTTTTGGCATCCTTAAAAGAACGGTGGAACTTTGAGAAAATGTTATTTATTTTCTTATAGGTATAAAAACGTTTGAGATATCGGCATAGATTTAAAAACCGCATTTTTCCAAAAAAAAATGTATTTTAAATAACTTTGAAATCCTACGACAGATTTTTCCCTAACTTTCGCAGATAAGCCTCAGAGCTCTCTAGTTATATATCTGCTAGTTTGAAGTCAGTCGTAACCATGCATACAACGTCCTTTAGTGCTCCTAAGGAATAAGTTAAATGTGAGCCTGGCGTGATCCGACAAAAGATTAGGGTTTTCGGGCGACTTGACGGTAAATCAACATTAACAGTTTCGCTTGGACTTGTGTTTTATGTATCGTCCCTCCTTCTGTTATTTCTTGCAGGTTTTATCTTATCATGCCTCAGCTCAGCCGGCAGAAGTAGACAAAATAATGGTGCGTATGGCTTAAGCACATAAACAGTGAGACTTGAGGCGCTTTGACATGTTTCCTCAACTTTTCTACATAATTCCATCATTATTTTGTGAAGGAGAAAGGCCATATGACACATGGTCACTTTTCTAAATAAATGCGGAGAAAATAATAACTGTTTGCCGACCGACAAGAGCTTAAGTGAATAAACCCCTCGACCTCCCAACGGCTGGTGAGTTATGGACACTGCCGCCGGAAAACTGACAAAACGTACAGGGCAAATTTTCTTAACCTCGTAGCCTGAGCATCTTATCCGCCGTGGGAGGGGGGGGTGCTTATCGGTGCCCTCTCTTCTCCTCTTCCTCTCTCTCGCTTCAGGGATTGGAAGAAGAAATCAATGCCCCTTGGAGTGGGGGTGCAAACTTCTTCGGCCAAGGGCATAACCGCTTTGCAACTCGTTATAAAGCTAAGAACAGACTTTTTATTACTCCCCCCCACCCCACTCGTCCCCCGATTAACCTCCCAAATAGAATTAAGGCCGATACACACGAGGGGTTTTGCTCCCGGAGCATGCGCCAGGCTCATTTTGCACGTGTCAGTACACACGAGGGAGCGTTTTCAAGTTCGCTCAATTTGCCCCGGGAGCTTGCTCCCAAATATTTAACCTGTTAAATATCGTGGAGCATTTTGCGGGGTGGAAATTCTGCTCCCGAGGATGAAGTATACCCATGAAATCGTTGGTACACACGGAGGAGCTTTGCGTCCGGAGCTTGCCCCAGGAGCGTGCTCCGGGAGCAAAATCCTTCGTGTGTATCGACCTTTTTTAAAGAACACTGCAGCTTATTATTTGTGCGTTATATTTTAACGTTCGTTGGCACCTTTCCCTAAAAGGACATTGGCCCATTATTTGCTCGCGGTATTTGTTTTGTTCCAGAATATGAAATTGCACAGTGCACAACACTGGAAGCTCCTCACGTTTGAGTTCGATGATTTTGAGCTTACTGATGATGAAACCATTTCCGCGTCAATACGAATGTTCCTGGACCTGGACTTTTTGGATGCTGTGCACACCAAACAAGAGGTATATAGACGATCCCTGGTCTTACCACCACCTTTTTGTTACGAACAAATAAATTCGGTTCAAGCGTAAATTTGCTCAGTCTTTTTGTTAGATGGTCACATTGATAGCTTTTCACTTAGCCCGCTTCAGACTCGCAGGCAGCAGTCGGGACGGGCGAAAAGAAAAGCGAGCGTTAAAAAAAAGGTGGGGGGGGGGGGGGGGGTAAACTGCGCTCGTTTTGTTTTCTGTTTGTTAGTGTTAGCAGCCGTGCCTTTGTCTGGTTAAAGGGGGCGCGAGGAAACTGCTGCTGAAGCAAAAAAGTCTAACACAATCCACCTGGTTTGTGTTCATTTACCACAGGTTTTGTGTCGATGGTTGCTAAGTGTAAAGAAGAATTACAGGCCTGTTATCTATCACAACTGGAGACACGCATTTAACGTGGCCCAGTGTATGTTTACAATGATAACCGTAAGTCTGTTTTCATGTTGAGTGAATAACTAGCTCTTGGTACAAATATCTTAGATTTATAGCATTCAGTTGAAGCTTTCGACTTTCGCAGTCTTAATCACTGACTGTCTTCAGAGTTGTCACGTGACTTATGTGTATTTGCACGTGCAGTTAGTTTGCAATGAAACTGCCTGAAACAGTCGAAAGCTTCGATGCTTAAAACTTAAGATATCTTGTGACGTAAGGATTATCATTCAATTGTTAAGACGTCAAGGGCAAGAATGAGCATTCACAGTAATTTCCAAGCTGTTTTATTCATAATAGTTTTATCCGGTTTTACTTGGGAAAAGATTGCAAGATTACAAAGGTAAATACGCGCGGACCGGGATGTTCCTGAAGTTACTTCATGTCTTCATAATTCAAGGTGGCTGCTCGGCTTCTTCCCTCAAACAATCCCATAAATCAGCGCGCACTTAGTTTGGGTCCCAGGCTATCACCCTTTTCCGAAGTGAGCTATAAGGTTACTTTGCAAATGTGGTATGATTAATGGGTGCCGTCCTTTTTTTAACTAGACCGGAAACATGAGGCGGTTTTTCTCTGATCTGGAAGTGTTTGCCTTGATAGTGGCGTGTTTCTGTCATGACCTAGATCACCGGGGCACTAACAACGCTTTTCAAACTAAGTGAGTACGAATACAATTACAATAGTTTGTACCGACGCTTGGTTAATACATGATATAGATTGTTTCTGAGCCTACGATCACTTTAATACCATTACTGGTCAGCGAAGAACTTTTTAAAGCACGTAACCTCTCAATGAGTTGTACACCTGAGCACGCGATACAGTCATGTGACGCCGATCAGCAGTTGCCCACTTTTGACAGCTGTCATTTGGTCATAACATGGATGTGCAATATCAAGTTAGAAACAATATGCTAGTAACTGAGACATTTCACATCCGCTAACATGAGTGGACGGACGTACGTACGTGCGGACGCACGATTTTGTCAGAACCTAAATTTCTTGGCTGCATAGATAATCAAGTATTCTTACCCATGTTTCAGTATCTCATGACTGTATGACGGGCTCACAAGGTGACGTTCTTAAGATCTCCGCTGGCCAGTTACTGTTTTTTTAACTGATCGCAGGCTCAGGTCCATATTTTCAGGAGGAATTCAGTTTGCTTCTTGTTTACGCTGAAAGTTGAATTACTTCAGAACGACATTTCTTAACAGGGATCCCACAAGAGCTTCGCTTTTGGCCTTGGATAAATCTATATATTAAGTGTCTTAGCTTGTAATGCTGCCTTTTCCTTAAATCACGTAATTTTGGCGGTCCTAACCCTCTCGTAGCCTCGAGAAAAGGAGCACAAATCTCTTTCTCTCCTGCAGTTATTCGACTTCGCGTTGTCACATTTTGATTACTGTTTCTGATAATACTTATTCATTTCCACTACTTAAACAATATTCAAAGCTATAAAATATTTTCCGTGAGAATAGCTGTACATTAAATGTATTTCTTTAACCAGGACGGAATCTCCGCTTGCTCAGTTGTATGGAACCTCAACCATGGAGCACCATCACTTTGATCATTGTATCATGATCTTAAATTCAGAGGTATCATAAATATCTTTCTTGTTTCTACAAAAATGTGCGCACATTTTTTAAGTGTTGCAGTATAGTAACAAAAACAAAAGTGGTAGGGTTCATTTAATGCTAACGTCATCAGTAGTGCCCCTCTTGAATCTGTTTGGTTTTGTTTCTAGGGAAACAACATATTTGAGCAGTTGTCACCAGAAGATTATCGCTCGACAATCAAGATTTTAGAACATGCTATCTTGTCTACGGACCTTGCTTTATATTTCCAGTAAGTTTTATTTGTTATATGGACTTGCAATGTAGCGATAAATATGCCTTACTACAGTCGAACCAGTTCAATCGTATCCCCGAAGATTCCGTTAATGAATCGGTTATTTGAAACAACCAGTATCAAATTCAAATTTGCATTCCTGCATGCTTAATGAACAGGGAATTTTTCATGATAACTTGTCTGTATTCGGCCTGATTGGAAAATCTTTGGATTGAGAGAATTGCTTTTAAGCCAAGTGATTTGAATCAAATTTAAGAAAACTGAGCTGGTAGAAATTTCATAACTGCCTTGCGTGTGATTCACAACTCATTATGCATTCAGGAATGAAGAGACGAATCTAAATCCACAACTAACAACGGATTCAACTTTTGAATAATAAATTTAAAGGTACGCTTGACCTGGCTTGACTGTAAAGCCTGTGTTGATTAACCTCTACAGAAAGAGAGGCAACTTTGAGAAAGTAGTTCATTCAGAATCAGCTGATTGGAAAGTGGACGGTAACCGAGAGATGTTGAGGGCGATGATGATGACAGCGTGTGACGTTGCAGCCATCACTAAACCGTGGGAGATTCAACAAAAGGTACGTTCGATCAAGGAAGCACATTTGAAATTTGCTTAAACTTTTTGTCACGTCTTTTGTGTTTCTATTGTTGAGTAAGCTGTTACTGTACGCTTACCTCTTTCATCGACTCATTCATTCATTTGCCTTCAAACAGGTGGCTGAACTGGTTGCTAGTGAGTTTTTTGAACAAGGTGACATGGAAAGGTTTCAACTAAACGCTGAACCTATTGTAAGTAAAACCGTCTTTGACTTAATATACCTTGCCTGTATTTCTGTAAACAAAGACGCTGCCTTATTCGAGGTTTGCATTGATAAAATGGAGCGATTTTGTATGAAGTTGTCCACCCATTCCTCGACTTCTCCTTTCCTATACTACCCCTGGGTCGAGTTGTTCAAATTTGGGTTAAGATAACCCAGGGTTAGTGCGAAATTTGAATTCAGGTTTGAAAACTTGAAAAGAAAATTTAGTTTAATTCTTTTTGTCTACAATATGATGATTGAATAATCTTAAAAAAATAGAGAAAATTTTCAGAGAAAATGCTTTCGAATAAAAGAAAAAGAAACCCGGAATAAAATTAAACCTCAGGTTAGCGTTAATCACTCTTCGAACAGGTGGGCCCTGGTCTTTCTGCTGAATATAGCTTCCGCGGGTTAGATTCTGAGAAACTGCCTACCTACCCGTCCCCAAATTAAACCTGACATTACAACTATTTATGTCTTACTTAGGACGAAATGTTGCGCTAGGGGAGGGGTAGGTGGGTGGGCAGTTTCCGAGAATCTTATGGTAATCTATTGTTTTTCAGCCAATGATGGACCGCAAAAAGAAGGACGACTTACCAAAGATGCAAGTGGGCTTCATTGACTTTATCTGTATGCCAGTGTACAAAGTAAGTCGTAAATGAAGTGATGAATATAGAGCGTTTTCACACGACGTCGCGTCTGCCATATCGGTGTTCCAAAACAACGAAACGGCGGCCATATTGGTGTTCCAAACCAATCATCTGAGAGTAGAACATTTACCATATGCAACATCTTTCTTTTGTGTCAACAAATTTGGATGGCTGCTGATCACGAGAGTGAAAACGTCCTACATGAATTTTATACATTGGCATCCGCCGGAATGAAGACACAATTGTAAAGAAGGCCAATACATGCGAAGTGATCAGTGAAGTCGTTAATGCTGGATTATTCGCTATAACCTTGTTGTATGTTCAATGGACAAATTTTGAACCTGTTAAAATTTGATTCTCTAAACGTGTTCTTTTACATTATCGACATCTTTTCCTCGCAAGCTTCGATCATCTTCACTCAGCCTTGTACAACTGAACAACACGAGTTTCTCTTTCTAAAATCAGGTCTGGAATGTTCTAGGATCACGTGACTCCTCTATTTTGTTTACTATTTCAGGTCCAAAAACAGCACAGTAGAAATGCTCTGATCCGGGGCCCGGGTCAAAGGTCGAATTTCACACGTGCCGAACCTACTGCTAATAGGGAGCTTAAGCAACAACGTTTTTGAGCGACGCACGTCAACCGGAAGTGGCCTTTTTTCATTTTTTGACAGTGGTTTCGCGCAAATTTTCAGTCAAATCGCCTCTATAACAGTAAAGAAGCTAAGGAATACAAATTTTATATCATCAAGGCATGTTAAGAGGGAAAATTCCTCACTTCCGGTTGACGTGCGTCGCTCAAAAACGTTGCTGCTTAAGCTCCCTAATAAGCGGGAACAATAGACTTTGTTCGTTAGCATTAGGTTCAGCACATGTGTGTGAAATTGGACGTTTGACTCGGTCCTAAGTGTGTGAACCTTGATTTCTTACGCAGTTATTCTATGACTTGGAACCTTGCTTAAAGCCTTTATACGACGGATGCGTGGACAATAGAAACAACTGGCAAGCCCTAGCGGATAAGGGGAACAAAGAAGGTACATGAAATAAGAATGAGTAAGAATCCCTCCAGCTGGCAGGGTTCTAACCACCAAAATGTCAGTAAAAACCCTGGGAGAAATCTTTAAAAAATCTTTAAACCTTTTCACTTGGTTCGTTTATGGATAATGGTTTTGGGCGGAAACTAATTTGCGTTATTAATAGGTCATTTCGGAAAATACCATGATTTATTCTTTAAATTGCTGTTTGGGTATTGCTTCATGTAAACCTTACTTCTGCTTTATTATTTGTTCACGATTTGGCGTGAAATGTGTAAATTTGTGGAAGATTTGCAAACTCAGAGTGTTAGAAAGGAAAAAGGGGAATTTGGGCGTGCGAGTAAATAAAGAACCCGCGAGGAAGCCCAGCGCGTCCTGTCGCGCAGTAAATTTCTCCTTTTCCTTCCCCTACAACCTAGCCTGCGTGGCGGGCGTTTGCAGGGGAAGGAAAAGGAGAAATCAGGCACGCGAGCACGTAAAGGAGCCTCGTGGGCTTCCTCGCGCGTCCTTTGTGTACTCGCACGCCTTTGAAAATCCCCCGTTTCTTAGATCTTCCTCTTTCTACATCCAAACCTCTCTGGTGATTGACATGTCGCATAGAAGGACACTTACAGCGCTCATTACAGTTACCTTTTGTCAAAACTGGCAAAGAAAATTACACTTTTCATCAGGTTTGTTTTGTCCCCCTAGATCAGTCTCGATTCCTAAATATTATGCACGACTGTTGTGGATTTTATGCCAGAACTCCCCCCCAAAAATCTTGGTCACTTTCAAAAGTTCTGCCTTCTGGTAAGCGCCGTTAGTCGTGGTCACAGCGACTTAGAACCACCGCATTTTTTTACCTCCCTTAAGAGCACATATCCGAAACGAATACCTTTTCCGGCCTCAAAGGTGTTTGCTGACGGAATCTTCGTTTGCATTTCGTAAACTATAATGAAGTATAAAGGGTTTCGTTTATCGTTTGTCTCACGACTGTGTCTTAGATATTGATCGCGACGTTTCGACCGCGCACTTCAGCAGGTCTTCATCAGGCGATAGAGTCGATTTACTGAGTAGGAGTACATTTTTTGTGTGCTACCATGGTTGTTAGTGACTGGTGAATCACGAACTCGGCTTGCTCATGATTGGTGGGTTTCGCCGTCCCAAAGCATTGTTGGCATTATCAGGCGAGGAAAAATGTTCCCTCAGCGGGCCGCTGTGGCAGCGATCGGCTGCTGTGTTGTCTGATCGTAGGCATCCACGCAGACCTGAAAACCAGCGGTACGCGATCGAAACGTCGCGATCAGTACCTGTGTGACAATCGTGAGACAAAGGATAAAAAAACCCTTTATGCACATTAACCACGATAAACAATATCTTTCAAGACGCAAACTATGATCTTTGAATTTAAGAATCAGCTGATTATTTTTAGTTTAAAAGAAAGGCCCGAAAGGTTATTAACTCATGAAATCTCTCACTAAAAGTAAAACCCATATTGCCCCTCTTTCAACCTTCAGCGACGGCGGGAGAAAGTCCTAGAGAAGGCAAAAAAGAAGAGAATAACAACAAGAAGAACTCAGCTACCAAAGAAGGGCATAAAACGGTAATGGAAACGTCTAATACAAGAGATTTCCCCGAAAAAGAGAACAAAAACAAAGAAACCAAAAAATCTAAGACGTGTAATATCTTGTAAAAAAGTATTGTTATCGAAATTTCTTCTTTTTTTTAGTCAGCTCTAAGAGCGCTCTCTCTGTTACAAATTGCCTATTTTAAAAGTTTCAAGTGGCTAAAAATGTTTTTTCTTTCATCCTTTTGTTTTACAGAAATTTCGTTAAAACGAAATGTATGGTAACCTTCCTTGATACGAAGTGTAAAGTTGTTGTTATTTATCGTGTACAATTTTATTTATGAAGAGTAAATTATTGACGGCGTATATTAAAATATTACCACTGGATGCGGGACAAAGAAGTGTACAGGAACGATTATTTTTGTGAAGAAAATTGTCTATGTTGAAGCCACAATAAACGTTTACACGTTTTAATGTCACTTTGTCTTAGTTGCTTTATATGAAAACTTCGCCCAGTCCATGCGTTGCGTTATGTTTTACAACTTTCCCCAGTGTTTAAATATCGACGAGATTTCGAGTCTTCATAGCCAATAACATCACATCATCCTCATAGGCAATAACAAATCGGCTTGACTGACAGACGACCAAAAACATCGCGACTTAATTGAACAATCAGGTCTATAACCGGAGTTAAATACCATCAACTGACGTGAAACAACTCACTTTGACTCTGAAGAGGATTGCCGCACAGGTTGTCGAAACGTCAGTCACTGTCAACAAGCACCCTCTTAACAGGCGACGACGACGAACATTTGCCTACATTCGACAAATCGAATGAATTGGAATGATCATGGTCAAGGTATGGGACGTGTGTGCCTTACTGCCCCTCATGTTCAAAAGCCTCTTCTCGTTTTTACTGCCACTATGCCGACCTAAAGAAGGCACACACCATCTGTATAAGGATGCGAAGAGATGTAATGGGTTTTCAAAGCGTTCTTCTGGTAGAACGCCTTTTCACAAAATTCACATTTAAATGGTTTATTGGGTGCGTGGATACGCTTGTGAGTGTTGAGAGTCGAAGTGAGAGTAAAGCCTTTTCCACAAATCTCACATCTGTAGGGTCTCTTACCAGTGTGGCCATAAATATGAGCTTGGAGGTTTCCCTTTTGATTAAAACCTTTTCCGCAGTGTTGGCACTTGTACAACCGTTCAGCAGAATGTGTTCTCAGGTGGTACTTGAGATGAGTCAGCTGTTTGAATCCCCGACCACACGTGATGCACTTATGAGGCTTCTCGCCCGTGTGCGTGTATCGATGGATTTTCATGTCCATGTTTTGGTGGAACCCCTTGCCGCAAAAGTCGCAGACGAACGGTTTGTAGTTAGTGTGTGTTCGCAGATGAGAATTCAGGTTGGAAGTGCGGCTGAACGACTTGTTACACTTGGGACAAACGTGAGGCTTGACGGCAGCGTGAGTCAGCTTGTGGCGACTTAGGTTTCCGAGCTGACGAAATGCTCTGCCGCATAAATCACACGGAAAGGGCTTGTCACCAGTATGGATACGTTTGTGAGTGGTTAAGGTGTTGCGCCGACTAAACACCCTACCACAAACATCGCAATGGTGTTTCCTACCTTCATGGAGTCTTGGTGTTACACTTTGACCGGCAGATGTCTCTGTGCAAGTTGCAATGATTTTTTTGCCCGAGCTTTCATTTGTCAAATAATTTCCGCTTGAACGACATTTCAATTTGTCAACTACTAACCCATTAACAACACTTGAACATTCTCTTGCTGAAAGAATGTTTTGGACGGTTTGAGAACCATACTGTGAAGAGGAAGTCGAGAAAAATTCCTTCTCTCTGTCAATCCCTTCCCTAAGGTACAGTGTTTTTTTCGTCACTGGAAGTTGATGATCGTTACTGTCTAAAGCCAAGGCCTTTATGGTGTATGAATCGTCACGGGCTATCTCTCTTGATGATGGTGGCAATAACCTGCTAAAATCTGGTGTAGGCTTGACGGAAGGGTATGCTCCACCGATTCTTTTGTAGATTTGTCTCATATCCGTGGTTTCAAGTTTGTCTTTTGGTTTAGTTTCCTTTGACCTCGGCGGTATGGGATTATCGTTCTGCAAAATTGCATCAATCACTGATGTTGCAGGAGCTAATGCTTGTAAGGCTGAAATGCCGTCTAGTTCTTCATCCTGAGAGATGTTAATTCCAGAGTTTTGTTGTGATAGCCTTATAAGACAAGAATCAGCTTGCCTTCTGAAAGGTTTAGTTTCATGCAGGATCTTTGACGTTTCCTGTGAGTGTAGTTCTTTAACATTTGTGTGCTGCATCGTTTGAACGCGACAGTCCGCACTGTAAGGCGATGATGCGTTTTTGTCATTAAGTCTTGCACTATTCATCAACGTAAAGGGTTCGTTCTTAGTGTACTCAACAGTAAAATCCAGAAAGTAGTTTGGTACCCTAACGACAGGTTCTTCGTCATTCTTTAAATTCAACTCTTGCAAGTTCGCGAATAGCTCAGGTTCTGGCGTGATTAAAATATTCTTGGTTAGAACTTTTCTTTTCGGATTTGCTGACTTCGAGAGTGGTTTCTTTAGCGCAACTTTTGACGAAACAGTTGCGGCGCTACTATGTTTTTCCTCAGAAAGTCCTTGAAATGGAGATGTACTTGTCTGCAGTACTTCGTTCTTCACCTTCCACGTCTGCAAGGCTCTTAAGTGTAGCGGTTGAGGCTGACAAGGTATACGAACTTTTTGTGGTAAACGATCGCCTGCTATTGTCCTCGGTGAAGATAGTATTCCTCTTGCCGCCAATGTGTCCGTAACAACGGACTCATCAAATGCTTGGACTTGTTTTGTTCTTTTTACTTCTTCGGCAAACATCGAGTCAGAAGCGGCTTCCAGGCACCTATCCAATAACACAGGAGCTTGTTTTTGCCTTACGTTTGCTGTTTGTGAGTACCTTTCGTTGGATTTTTTGTTGCTTCGGTCAAGGACATAATCAAATATCTCGAAAAAGTTGTTGAAAAATTGCTCATGCAGGCCATTCCTTTCTTGCTGAAACTCCATTTTCTTGGCCTCCATGACAGCAACACGGTTCGATTGTTGAGCGGGGTTATTCTCCTCGTTCCATGTGGAAGAGTAATTTGGCAGTTTTTGGTTCTCGGTGGATATATTTTGACTGGTCGCCAAATTCTTGAAAACCTGGATTGTGTTCCTGGATGTCTTACTTGAGAACATTGAATCATCGACACCCTCGTAATAATGAATTGTTGGGATCTGAGCATTTGCCAGTCTGTTTTTGCTGTCCACAGACTCGAAAGGAACCTGGTCGGTTTCCCCATATTTCGCCATTGCGCCTTTCGAACTGATTGAAGTGTTTGGGTTGAGCGAGAAGGCAGACATAATCTTTATCTTCATTGAAGAACTTTCTTCATTAATAGGCAAGGGGCTATCGGAAGAGCAATTTTGACTGGAAACTCTGGCTTGTCCATGATATTTGCCTCGATTGTGGCTCTTTTCTCCGTTGTAATGAGTCGTTTGCGAGTGATGAAGAGAAGAATAAAAACCTGGGTTATTGCCAGTACTCCGCTCATGCCTGTCGTTATGGAGTGGAGAACGCTTTCCGATTTTCACTTCATTATCAGGACCGGTTGAATTACTCGTACATTTATGTGCTCCATATTTCTTGTCATTTAAATCACAGTAGTCTGACAGCTCTTTCCACATGAAAGACATTTCTCTCCTTTCTTGTCGGTTACTCGAGAACTTCCCTGGGGGATTTAACAAATTGAAACTGCCTTTTAAGAGATCGAAATTGATGAAGTGACAACGGCATTTTTTTTGAGACAAGAATGAATTTTGAGAGAGTACAACTGGCCATTACGAAGTTGTGCGTGAGAGAGTAGGTCGGTATTGTGTCGAACTGCACTGTGGGACTGTTTTGGTGACGTTATCACTTCTTTCATTGGCCATTGAAACGATCCCATAGTGCAGTTTGACACTTCCCCTTACTTATTTCGGTTTCTGTTCAAAAATAACAGAAAAGAAGACTTAATTATAGGGGAAACGTCACTACACTTGCAACCTGCGTTTTCAATAATTACTTTGAACTGTGTACCTCTTGAGAAAAAGTGTTCTGAATGGTTCAGTTTATAGGGTTATAAATCGTAACTTTCCTTACCTTGCCGTCTGATACATAAGAACACTATCCTTCAGTAACATGAGGCCAGACACATTTGATTTTTTTCTGTCTATGGCGTTCTAAACGAGAACATAAAAGATAATTGACGCTTTTCCTCACTCCAATTTTTCCTGCAGTCGTCTTGCTACGATGTTTGTTTTATTTCAGTAATCTACAGGTGGCGGCGACCTATCGAAACAAAAATACTGTGTTGGTAATCCACGGCGCTTGGAAATTTCTTGAATATCCATTTTCAATTAAAAAAAGTATAGCAGAAAAATGATAAGGCAACATTGATCTGTTGAATCATTTATAGTAATATTGACACTCTGGTTAAAACACAGCCGTAACAAAGCCCTGCAACTATAACAACAGTCCCAACCGGTAACAATTAACATGACAGACCTTGTGACGACAACTCAATTTCTAGAAACTCGCCTTTTTGTTAGTCTTTCTTTCTTTCAGATTTGTATTCTTTTGCCATTTTGTTCCGGTTTAATGATCCCAGAAGACTAAAATTTTTAGCTCTTTTTAGTTGAAAAATACACTAGTGCGTTTTTTTCCTTCTTGTTCAGAGAACATAATAGGCTGAACATAAAACAGCCGATGTCCGCTTCGTTAAAACAGTTCCATATGCCATGGTGTTTATGATGTATACGCACATACCCCTCGCTATTTTATTAAATCACTTTTCTAAGTGACCTACGCGTTAAAAACAAACGTTTTATTTAGTACAAGTGATAGGACAGAAACAAAATGTCACCGCTACGAAGTTTGTTTATTTCTTAAACAATTGGCTTGGCTTCAACAGCTTGTCACATTTAATTAAAAACTGCTTTTAGTAAGAAAAAAAAATGTATTTCAAGCGTGTTTTCACCAAGAAGGTGATTTGGTAATTTTATAGAGAAGAATTTGCAATAAAAAAGCGGCCTGAAAAA